GCGAATCGCCGTCCTATAGAACTTACCTTTTAGCTTTTGTGGCACCCTCTTATCACAGAGATAAAGAGATAAACTATTAAACCATTTTAAACCTTTTAAAGTTGAATAGAATGAACATACTGAACAAGAGGGCTATGGCTAGGATTTCATAGTTACAAGAATATAAGACAATCAGACCTACTCAACATATTCATCAGTAAGAACCTCATTTGAACTCGGTTCATCGAATTCTTTTACGTCAAAAATGTATTATTCATAACTCGGGTCCCTCGGACTTTTGATTCGCGCTCGATTCAACCGACTGCATTACACCCCTAATCACAAATCACTTGCCTTCATTTATACCAAAAAGAGTTCATTACATAAATTGCTTTTTGGAGCCAATTGTGACAAAACCAGTCTTCAACAAAGAGCAACCCTTCAAATCTCCATTCTTTTCAAGTAATCATCAGGCATGGGGACACATAAAATGCATCTAAAAACACAAATTCTTATACACTGTAGCACAATATGAAGAAATAATACAGTGAAAATATATCATAGATTGGGAGAAAATAAAAAACCGGGTGTTCATATGGTTCGATCGGAGTTCAACAACTCTGTTTGAAGATGACAAGCAAATCATAAATCATTTTTATATTTTCAAGCATCAGTTTTTTTGCCTCAGAGGTAGTGACAATTTTGCATATCATCAATGTTTATTCTGATAGAAGCAAATAGCAAATATGCATCACAGGCAACACAATGCTTGAATTTTCACTCAAAAAACACCTGAAAAAAAAAAAACAACCTTGAACAACATGAAAAAACATCTAATGTGTAACAAAATCATTGTCATTTGCAATAATATGCACAAACTTAACACCAAGTAAAATTTGTACTCTGGCACTTAAATATCCACTATTTTTCCAAGTAATGAAAGAGTGCCAAATTACTCTGTTTTCCAAAAATATTGTACAGCCACACTACCATAGAAATTGCTCGAATTCTGATCAATTCCATAACATAGCAGCAAAATGCAAACAAAGTTGCACATCAAACTGCATCACTCACTATAAAAGGGTGAAAATTTGCAAAAATGTCAACTTTGCCGGTGAGAATAAAACCCTTGTCTTCCATGACCAAATCAACAGACAAGAAATGAACACCGGTTTTGCTATAAAGCCAACAGTTGACTTCATTGTTGAGCCAACCTTCTATATAACACTAATATATTTTTATTAATATGATAGGTTTATTTGTCGTATATAGAAAATTGGCTCCATTAACCGATATTACAATTAAAAATTGTGTTTTTGCAAATAGAAAGTAAAAAGTTTTTTTTTTTGGCAAATTTCCTAACAAAAAGATGGTTAATTTGCTTAGCAAATTGTAAACATCATTAATTTGAGAAGAAAAAAAACAACAAAATCATCTGAACACAGGCATCAGAGAGATTCCCATTAGACTAAGTCATCTTTTTCTCCCAATAATGGGGAGATCTGATGTCCCTGTCTATTTTATCATCATATGCCAGAATCAGACTGTAATTTGCTCTCTCCATTAAAAGAACAAAACATAGTGAGTGTTAGAAGACAAAAGCAAACATATAAAATGCTTCCTCATAGCCTCAGATGATAAGCTTTTCATAGTGAAAACACTCAAAGTATATTTAACACCATCATAGGCACAAGAACATTACTAGAAAAAATAAAAACATTTTGTTTATCAATTATCACAAATTTCTTCACATTTTTTTTTTTTAACTGAAGAAGCAGAGAGATTCTACAAAGAAAAGCAACACTAGGGTTTCAACTTTAATGTCTCGACGAGTTCAAAGGGGCCGCCCCCAAATAAATAGATCAGTTTTGGTGACTAGGGTTTCAAGAATTTGCAGGGGTACACAAACACCCATAATGAAATAGTGCCTAGCAATTAACATCATCTGTGGTTAGCGGTGGTCAGTCAACGTGCCGAGTCCCGACCCAGCCCGGCCCGCCGAACCACGGACCCTCCAACACATGGCCCGCGGCCGGCACGCTAAGAACCAAGGAACCGGCCTGAACCGCCAGTTCAACCGGGTCACGGGCCGGTACTTAAAAAAACAAAAAAATTTAACAATGTGACCCGCTGTCCGACTCGGCCCGGCAAACCAAAATACAAAAAAATGGAACCGGGACAAAACCGTGGCCCTACGAGTCCGGTTCAACGAACCGGCCCTTAGGAGGCTGGTTCGGCCAGTTCAGGCCGGGCCGGTGCCGGTTCGTGGGCCAGTTCATGGCCGGTTCGGTCCGTGGACATGTCTATCTGTGCTAATTCAAAAGTTTTGGAGTAAATTCTTTTATTTTTATTAAATATTCATGTTTTTTTTTTTAATTCGAATGATCTATTTTAAAAATAATGTATGTACTAGTACAACACTCGTGTAATACACGAGTGCTTGCTAAATTTTTTTATTATAATTTAAAACTAATGAGAAAAAGTGGTTGAAAAGTAAATATTTTTTATAAAAAAAATATATTATTATATATTTTAGTATGATACTTGTTCCTTGTGCAACTTACTTGTGTTATATTATAATAATTTTTCTAACATATATCATAAAACTACATTAAACATAAATATATTAATTGAGAAATTATTTTATTTTTCTAATTAATTTAATAAATAATTTTATTATTATTTGAAAGATAAATATAATTTATTTATTTTATATATACAATATAGATGTCAAATCGAATCTCATCAAAAGATGATTAATTTGATATATCATATATGCAAAACCGATAATAAATACAAAAGTTATCAACTTTTAAAATATATTTAAAAAGTCAAGAGTATATTAGTCAATTAGTGTCGCACTATGTAAAGTTACAAATAATTAAAAGGTTATATTAGTATAAGTGTTATGAAATTACTTAAGTTAGCTTAATAATATTTATGGAATGTCTCAACCTAAATTATGGAATGTCCAAACCTAAAATTATTAATTTATATATCAATATTAATTGTCCAAACTAAAATACAAAGCATGATTCTTTGCCAAGTAGGATTCTGAAGCACAAAAAGCAACCACGTAGGTTCAGCTCATTCAGGAATTATATATAGGGGTGATTTAGTTTAAATAATTTAAACAAAACAAATGTCCAAATTGAGTGACATGATAATTGATTGACGCACATAAGTTATATTTAAAAATATATTTTTAGTTTTTGTTAAATATATTTAAATATATTAAATGTTTGAAAAAAAAATAATTGACATGTTGAAACCCATTTTGATCAGTTTCAAATATCGATTTTTTGAACTCCGACGTATTTCAGAATTATTAATGTTCTATTATCTTACAACAATAAATAAAATACATTACATAAACTAAATAAGTTATTATATTTATGTTCCTTGAGATAATTTTATCTTCACTACAAAGAGGCTGGCTTATATGACTCATTATTCTACAACTACTTGCTGATTAGCTCTTCCCTAATATGTTGTATACTAGCCGAGCTCAGAGTTAAATAAATGAGCGAGAAATGGAGCTCGAGCTCGACTCGTTTATCACTATTAACAAGCCGAGTTCGAGCGTTAAAGAGTTGATCTCGGGCTTTAACTAGCCGAACTATACAAAATTATATAAAAATTTTTCTTTTCGAGCCTTAACGAGCCTTATCGGCTCAGTTCATTAACCAAATGAGCTTTAAATGAGCTCGAGCTTGGCTCGTTAAGGCCTCGAGCTCTGAGCTAAGCTCAAGACAAGTCGAACGAGACTCGTTTAATTTAACAACACTACTAATCCTCTCACACCAGATTCGGGTACAAAAGCCACAACTATTTTCACTTACACTACAGCTACCAATAATCTCCACAAGAGCAAGCTCCATCCTGAAAATGATGGTACCGAATAGGATCCCGAATAACAATACTCCGATTCTCAACTTTCGCCACCAGTTTTGCGAACACATGACAATCTCCACATATCCTCAGATTTTTCCGAATCCTTATCGTCTTCTCATTAGGCAAGCACATCGTGCCAAACACAATTGCCAGTTTCTCACTGTGGTAAGAAAGCGAAGTTTCCATCTGTTCTTCTCCTTCGAGATCTTGCAAGACAAAATTCGTGTCCGGCATGTAACCCTCTTCCTTTAATCTCAATATAATCTTACGCAACTCCTGGTAAATGGCGTTCGCCCTCGGGTGGGATTTATCCGCCAAAACGAAAGCATGAACCTGTTTATCGATCTCTATCCAACTACACCCGGGTTCTTTCTTTATCCCAATTTCTTTCATGGACCTCCTCAAATTTTCCGCATCTTCCCATCTCTGAGTATTGGCATAAATATTTGACAAAAGTATATAAGTTCCCGCATCATGAGGATCTAAGCTCAACACTTTCTTCGCTATATACTCGGCTAAATCCATGTTACGATGAACTCTACAAGAATTCAGTAAAGTTCGCCACGTCACAGCATCCGGTTCGCATTTCATTTCGTGAATTAATTTCATAGCTTCTTCGAATTTCCCTGCACGTCCAAGAAGATCAACCATGCACCCATAGTGTTCTCGTCCAGGATCAATACCGAAAAGTGTCTTCATCGATTTGAAGTAAAATTCACCATCTCGAACCAGGCCAGCATGGCTGCAAGCAAAAAGAACTCCCAAAATTGTAATGTAATTCGGCCTCATACCGGAAGCTTTCATTGTTTCGAATAAATTTAGAGCCTTTTGGCTGTACCCGTTCTGGGCAAAGCCGTTTATCATTGTACTCCAAGAGATAACATCCTTCACAACCATACGATTGAAAATGCTATCAGCATCTTTTAAGCTACCACACTTACAGTACATGTCTAGAAGAGCATTGTTCAAAACCAAATCCCGATTAAACTTAACAACGTTAACATGAACTTGTCTGCCGAGTTCCAATAGTGCTAAACTAGTGCACGCACGAAGGACGCTTGTTAGAGTAGACTGGTCGGCCCACAAACCGAACCTCTTCATTCTTTTAAATAGGTTGAGGGCTTCATCACCATCACTGTTCTGAGCAAACCCACCGATTATGGAGTTCCAAACAACAAGATCTGAAGTTGACATCTCGTTAAATATGTGAAGTGCGGGTTTCAATTCACCCAATTTGGAATAAATATCGATTAAGGCACTTCTGACAAAAACGTCTAACTCAAGTCCCACCTTGATTGTCGAGCAGTGGACTTGTTTTAAGTTGGAAATTCCATTGCATGCCCTCAAAACCGACGAGTATGTATACATGTTCGGCATAACGCCGTCTCTAAGCATCTTTATTAACATCTCCAAAGCCTTGTGATGAAGATTGGAATTAGAATAGGCAGCAATAAGGGTCGTCCAAGAAACTACATTCTTCTCGGGCATCTGATCAAATAAAAACTTTGCTTCATCAAGCAGATTAAATTTTACATACATGTTTAATAGTGCGTTCAGAAGGAAAGTTTTCGGCTCATAGCCGTTGGAGAAAACATGCTGGTGGACTCGTTTTCCCTGCTTGATAGCACAATGAGCTATACAGCATTTAATCAGCTCAGTGTAAGTGATCGAATCAGCCCAGAGTTTATTTTTTTGCATGGAGTCCAAGGCCTCCATTGCCTTGGGAAGATCCTTTTCATAGCAGTACCTGGTGAAATCACTGACTGTATTTAGATGATCAGTCGACAATGGACTTGGCCTTGTTCTCCAATCAGTTGCTGCCATGTGAATGAAACTTGGCTGCTGAAGAAAGATGATGAATTGTGATACGGGAAATGAAGTAATGTGATGATTGATGATCGAGCACTTGAATCTTGATACGTTATTCATGGCTGATGATGGAAATTGCATCTTCAGTCTGTTAAAAAGATTATTAGATTAGTTGATGTCACCTCATTTCCTTGACAGACAAAATTAAGGTATGCACAGAACAGAAAACAGCATCTTTTACCAACTTTTTGAGTAACATTACCTACAGAATATTAAAGATAATGGGACTCTGTGTAATAAACTCGTTTGGAATAATCGCATTTACAGAACAGTAAAGTGTGTCTTTTTAACTCTCAGCCACAGTGTAGAAGTGTACATACATACACGAGCAAAAGCAATTTCTTGAGAGAGATAAGGAAATAGACACATTATAAGCAATCTGATTTTGGTTTGATTTTTATTTATTTTTTGCTTTCACAAGTATAACAAGGAACAAGCTAGAATTGGAACGGGGAACGGCCACAATAAATAATGTGATTCGAACATTTGACCTACATTTGCAGATGATAGGCACATAATCTATGATCTATCACAGTATAACCTACACATAACCTGGTACATGCGTGCAGAATAAGATTGTGCTATTTCAAACAATCAGCTTCTTTCGATTTTGATTCTCAAGACTCCTCCAGAGGTTACCGGTTGAAATTAAATCAGCCCCAGCACACCCAACCTTCAACCAGAACCAATCACCTATGCTACTAACTATGTAGCAGACATAAGTTTCGAAGAGCAACTTACATTATAATACATAATTTTATTGATAATATGATGGAGAATACAAAATCGTGAGAAAAATAACTCGTCCCTGACAAAATATCAGACAATGACCTTAAATCGATCAATCAATTCAGAACCCCAACTGAATGAGCAAACAGAACGAAGGTTACAGATGCAACACTGAGATAAAGAATCAGTAAAATCAACAATTCAGAATAAATTATCCAAATAATAAGTACCTTCGACTAAGGTACAATGTGATCGTGACCATGGCAGAGGCAACCGGGACAGGCCACGAGCTCCCTGAAGACGATGATAACTAACAGGTCACGGCGCCACCTATCCGGGTCGCGGCCAACCTATGTTTTTGCAGTGAGGGAAGCTCCTCGAGTTCGGGCTTGCGGGCGCGATCTCGCCGTCAGCAATCTCGCCGTTCGGCTGGTAGGACGGGTCGGGTCGGGCTGGAGGAGGGGAAGCCTTTCTTGTTCCTCGTTTTGGAGGAATTTGAACTCATTGTCGGGTAAAAGAAAATGAGAAGTTAGATATGGGGCTCGACAATCGGGTCATCTTAAAACCTTGGATTTTTTTTTTTTTTAAATATATATTAGTCTTACTGATTTTTTTTAATGGATTTAACTATGATTTGATATAAATTTTTACTCAAAATGTATCATTCATTTAATTTAATTATCATTTATTAATATTGTCATTATAATTAATTAATATCAAACAATACTTACTACACATGTTTCAACAAAATTCGTTGATGCATTCACATATTTTGAATTAATAATTTTTTATCATCATTATTTTATCGCTTTTATATTATATAAGCTTTAATCATTATATTTTTACTCATGTCAGCTCAAACTCAAAATAAAATCCTAATTTTCGCTCAATTATTGTTTTTTTCAAGCTTATTTCACTTTATTCAATAAAATCAAATTAAATCTAAAAGAATGTATTTTTAATAACCATCTATATCCAACGTACATATATGAAAAACAAACAAATAATTATAATTATTAGGAGGAAAAAAAAAAGGTAAACTGCGAATTCAATACTCATATTAAGGGGGTAACTGTCTGATTGAAGTGAGTAGTACTCCATGTTCGGACTAACTCAATTTCAGCATCCTACTTATGAGGCAACGCGGATTCCAAACTAACAAAAAAATGTTACAAAGATGTATTTTCTTCAACATATATTAAAAAATAATAAATAAAAATAAAAAGTGACAACACATACTCACTAAAATATTTGAGAGATGTATCATACTAAGAAATGAGATACGCGAATATATATTTCATAGTAACAAGTGTCGTGTGGAAGAAGACAATCTCCTTATAAAGATAACAAATAGTTAAATCATTACAATACGTAGCATCTCGTTTTCTTTTATTTTCGTTTATCTTTTTAGAGTTTTATACACTAGTACAATGTCGAAATATTGTGTATTTTAAGTGTGACTACACAGAAAACAAAGATTATTGTATTTTGAAGACGTTTGTCAAAAATCGTTGTTGTTAATGAAAAGCCAATTTCATTTGACGATCAGCGTGTTTCACACTTTCAATATTTTACATTTTCTTTTGTAAATTTCAACATAAACCTATGAATCACATTTCCACATTGGATCACGAAAGCAAGACAAGATAGACCAAATCATCCACATAAGCTTCAAATACACAAATGTCAAGAGCCAATTGGTATGATCTATACACCAAATACAAAAGATATTCTTTTTTTTTTTTAAGTCACTTGGGACTTGAAAAGGGCCCTCACAATCTCAAATAGCCAACGGCAACATGGAAATAGATTTATGGATATGCCAACATGGATAAGGATAATCTACAAAATCAAATCACAGCCCTTGGATGCCAAAATCTCCAATATCAACGGTCACAATTCAACCTTCAATCAGCTCCACAAACTCAACATTGAAAGGAAATACAAATGCACACACAACTACACAAAAGATTCATTTCTATAGCCTCACCAAATTGCCACT